GTCAGGCTATTTGACGATTCACAAGCGAACCCACACTGGAGAAAAACCTTTCACCTGTGACCTCTGTGAGAAAAGTTTCACGGACTCATGCTCATTGAAGCGCCACCAGCGAACCCACACTGGAGAAAAACCCTACTCCTGTGACCTCTGTGAGAAGAGCTTTAGCCAGTCAAGCTATTTGACGATTCACAAGCGAACCCACACTGGAGAAAACCCTACTCCTGTGACCAGTGTGAGAAAAGTTTCGCGGACTCACATTCATTGAAGAGCCACCAGCGAACCCACTCCTTTGACCAGTGGGAGAAAGAGTTCAGTGACTCATACAGTGTGAAGCTCCACCAGCCTACCCACACTGGAGAAAAACCTGACGTCTGTGCTCACTCTGAGAAGAGTTTCAGAGAACCAGACCACATGGGAGAAAACCTTCACTAGTGCACTGAGACTGTTCAGAAAGAGTGAGGTGGACTGTTTGACACAACTCACTGTTAAAAGATGTTGTGTGGATTTTAAAAGTTGTTCAAATGTTCTCAATAATATTCAAATGCATGCACTTAAGTTGTCAACTTGTATTTTTTTCCACAGCAAAAACACACACAAAGCTCCCTAAAGAACAAGGCACCACAGTCACTTAACTGTAATGTTATAAATATGTGGTAATTGAACAACAAGCTAAAGCCTACTGATTTCTAAAAGTGTGTGTATAGAGCCTTTAGTCTCATATAAGCTAGATAGAGCGTCGCTTTGAACCATAAACTATTACCGTTGCTGACTGTACTCATTCAGGCCATTTTACCCTCAGAAAGAGGTTCCACAGGGGTCTATCCTTGGTCCATTCATGTTTACATTAGATGTTACATAACTTTTTCCAGTAGCCACACTTTCTCCTTCGACCTCTGTTGGGGATGTTTGTAAGGCTCTAAAGGGCCTAGACCCCAATAAATCAGCAGGCCCAGACGATCTCCCCCCTTGTTTCTTACGTCTAGCTGCAGCTATTATAGCCCAACCAGTGTGTCATGTTTTTAATCTTTCTATAACAAACAATGTCATTCCAGATGTTTGGAAAACTGCAAATGTTCTCCCCTGATTGAAAGGTGGTGATCCCATAGTGATGAATAATTACAGACCAATTTCCAAGCTCTCTATTTTAGCTCAAGTACTTGAAAGGCTGGTGAATGATCAAATCAAAGAATATTTAAGCTTGAACAACATTCTATCTCCTCACCAGTCAGGCTTTAGGAAGCAGCACAGTACAGTAACGGCTGCTTTGAAAGTAGTGAATGACATTGTTGAAGGCTTGGATGCAAAGAGCTACTGTGCTGCCCTTTTTATAGACTTATCCAAGGCATTTGATACTGTGGACCATGGCATTTTATGCCAGAAGTTATCCCATATAGGCCTGTCTGACCAAGCTGTTGGTTGGTTTTCAAACTATCTTTTAAATCGCAAGCAATGTGTACAATTCAGCGGTCTCTCCTCAAGCTTTCTTATTGTGCCCAGAGGTGTCCCTCAAGGTTCGGTCTTGGGACTCACCCTTTTTTTCAATTTATATAAATGATGTGCGTCAAAATATTGATGCCTCTGTACATCTATATGCAGATGATACTGTTCTATACTGTTGTGCTAGCACTGCTGCCCTTGCATTTGAACGTCTGCAGTCTGCTTTTGACACTTTTCAGTCACACCTGTTCCACCTCACGTTGGTGTTAAATTCAGACAAGACAAAAGTCATGTTGTTTTCCAAGAAGAAAAAGTTACCAACTGTTCTTCCCTGCATCATGTCTGCCCAGCATAACCCCATTGAAGCTGTTCACACCTACAGAAACTTGACTATTGACTATCTATGACTACTAAGATTGACTATCTTTTAAGGAAACTGAAATTAAAACTGGCATTCTTTTTTAGAAACAAGGCCTACTTCTCAACAAGTGCTAGGAAACGGCTTGTAGCTGCCACATGTTTCCCGCTCTTGGACTACAGGGATGTTGTGTACATGAACGCCTCAGCTCACTCCCTTCATCTGCTGGACGCTGTTTACCATGGGGCTCTGAGGTTCATAACCAACTGTAAACCCCTCAAACACCATTGCACGCTGTACTCTTTAGTTAACTGGACATCACTATCAATGCGCAGATCACTGCACTGGTACAAACTCATCTATACCGCTGTGCTTGGACTGCTGCCCCTCTACATATCCACTTACATATCACACAAACAGTACAGCTATAGACTACGATCTCAAAATTACATCACTCTGTCCGTCCCCTCAGTACGCACGGAGCTTGGGAAAAAAGCCATGTCATACTCTGCCCCCTCAACCTGGAACACACTTCAGCAGGATACAAGTATACTTCGGGGCAATGGTGGATTTTGCATACAATACATCAGGGGTAGGCAAGTAAGTTTGGCCGTGGGCCAATTTTTTGCTGAGCCACAAGATGGCGGGCCAGAACATAATCAAAGCCTAATTCAAGGAATTGATTTTGGTAAGAGGGCGCAGCGCCCCTGTTCCCCGGTTCAGAAAAAACTCTGATATCGCTGATAACCCTCCCCATCAACACTCTGATGCCCAGTCAGATCCGCTGATTGGTTCACTGATGATATAGGCGCCCAATCCAGAGCCTCTGGATAGACCCGCCCAAAGGGAGGATCGTCGTCTCTAGCCCCATTTCAGTCCCATGTTAAAAGTCAGGGCTATTATCTGTATTTTAACAGACTTATCTTTTAAATTGAGGTGCATTTATTGTTCTCTTCAAAGTAAAAAATGTTCTGAAATTTTAGGGAGGATGGTCCTCCCTTTCCTCAATGGACGAGCCTCCACTGAGTGAGTTATTAACTAGGTAGCAGTGTTATTTAACATACTTTTATTCTGATAAGTATTGTCAAGTTCTCTGGGTTTTTGGCATTTATTTGAGTGTTTGCCCACATTTGAGAGGCTTGAGGGGCAACAGAGGACGCATGGACAACTGGAATCCTTTTTCCTTTTCTTTATTTCAACTTTTCAAGGACACATTAGGATTCTTTCAGGTTGAAAACCTTTAAAAAATACAAAATAAATAAATTACAGCATGTTTTGCTTTGCAATTTATTTAATATATTATAACCTAAATTAATCAGTAACCAAGTATTTTACTCAACTCAATGTATTTAATAGTTAAAGGGGACCTATCATGCAAAATGCACTTTTGTACGTCTTTTATACATGAATATGTGTCCCCGGTGTTCCAGGGAACTCACCAAGTGTCAGAAAACACAACCCTCTCTATTTTCCTCCATATCCAAATCTCTAAAAAAGGGGCTGCAACGGATCTGATAAAAACTGATCCAGATTTGAACACTGTCCTGACGTCAGGACGGTGGCGCTACGGCTATTGGGCCAAGTCTCCACCTATCAGGGGAATGTGGGGTTGGGCCACGGCCGGCCATTGCCGCTCGAAAGCGCTGGAGACGCTGTAGTACATATGCCAGGCCTGTAAGTGGCGCTGTAGTCTGCCACAAAAGCAGCGAAGAAGACTTCCCGCGCATGGTTGCCATGGTTACCCTTCTGTTTATTCTCCGCTGTGGCTTTTGTTCTCCCTCCCCGAGGCAAGCACTGTAATTCTCTCCGGTTAGTCCACCAGCAGATGACAAACACCCACCTCTCCGCCTCTTCCAAGGAACGAGGGGACCGGGTGGCAGAGTTTCAGTTAGGTTTTCTTTCGCCGGTCAAGATGTCCGTTAAAGTTTAAATCTTCCGGACAAAATTAGAAAAGTGCCGGTCAAAGGTCTTCTTTGTTATTTATTGAGCTTTAAAACAAATGAATAACGACTCTATATAATAATATAAGAATAAAACACGGAGGACGGAGATCTCTTTTTCTCACCCTCTTCTGACTTGATCAGAGCACGCTCCCCTCTCCTGCAGGGGGGCGTGGTCAGCTGCAGCTCACAGAATCAGCCCCCTGCAAAAACAGGGCTGGAGAACAGCAAATAGAGTGAAATGAGGCATGGCTAAAATGCATGATCTGTTTGGTATTTTGAAAACAGAAACGTATAAATACACCTTATATAGGTATGGCCCTACAATATATCATTTAAATATAGCATGATAGGTGTCCTTTAAATAAGTGCTTTAATTGACGTCAGTGTACCCCGCTGCCTGATTGTGCCTGTGCTGTATGTCATTCATTCTCAACATAGATAAAAGTACAATAAGCATTCTTCAGGTGTAGGTAGATTCTCTATTCGGACATTATAGCCTATATGTGCGACTGTCGATATTGCTGGCGGGCCAACAATGGCCCGCGGGCCGCCTGTTGCCGACCCATACAATACATCAAAGTAACATACACAGCACAACCCTCTATTTAAGCTAGAAGGAACAGATAACACAACTACAACAACAGCAAAGTCAAATCAAAATAAAACTTGAATTGGAACCTTTGAATTGTGTTACCATGGAAACACCAGTGCATCTTTCAAACCTGACCCACGTGAAGACGTCCGTCAACCGGCACGAGTTATCGAAACTACTTTCACACATCAACGGTAAGAAAACAGCGTTTCTGCAGCTGGGTCGTTTCTATGTGATGTTTACGGGAGCTATTGTTTGGCTGGCAGAGGGAGATTTATTTTACTCTTTCAAACTTATTTAGATATTTAATGAAAATAGAGTTTGTTGTTCTGCATGTTGGATACTGGGACTGAAATGTATGACCTGCTTCCTCTGCACAAGTAAGACTGATTTATTGTCTTTATTTATATTTGTAATATATAGCTTTACCTCATTTTAAAGCTGCATTTATTTAAAAAATGCACAAACTAAAGCACAACAAGATATGTCTCTATTTTGTGTCAGATGTGCAAGTGTCTAACTGGATGGACTCCATCTCTCTTTGAGCTTTGTGGTAGTGATTGTTTTGTCAAATTAATGGTCTCAATGTTAACATTTAGAAAAACACTAAATGTTTATTTTAATTCCTGTGGTTTGCTAATAAGTAATGTGGTAATCTCTGTTATTGCAGATGGCTGAACTTCAGGTAGACGATAACACAAGCAGCAGAAAGAGTTCATCAGCAGAGGGTAAGTTACTTTAACTTTTAAAAGTTTTTATGTTTCATGTGGAACCTACTTGAGCAGGTCTCCCTTGAAAAAGAGATCAATGATCTCAATGGGATACACCTGGATAAATAAAGGTTTGAAATGAAATGAAAAGTGAAAATCCTGGTTAAATAATTATTCATATTTGAGTGAAAACAATGAAATTATGTTTAAAGTTTAGCAGTCTAGAGTCCTGTTGATTTAAGTTTTCAGAATTGTTTACATGGTTGCATTTGAGTCTAAACAATGAAGAATTGAACAAGCGTTCGTTATACTGAGTGAATCATATTGGTTGCTAGGAAACATCTGGCAAAATCAATCAAAGATGTAAACAGGAAGTCACCTGTAGCAAATAGTGAGTGCTAAAGCTACAGTAGCATATACAAGGAGATGGTAACATCTGATCATTCACATTTACTCTGAGGTGGGAGAAGTACTCAGATCTTGTACTTGAGTAAAAGTAGAAGTACTCAGATCTTGTACTTGAGTAAAAGGAGAAGTACTCGGATCTTGTACTTGAGTAAAAGTAGAAGTACTCAGATCTTGTACTTGAGTAAAAGTAGAAGTACTCAGGTCTTGTACTTGAGTAAAAGTAGAAGTACTCAGGTCTTGTACTTGAGTAAAAGTAGAAGTACTCAGGTCTTGTACTTGAGTAAAAGGAGAAGTACTCAGATCTTGAGTAAAAGTAGAAGTACTCAGATCTTGTACTTAGTAAAAGTAGAAGTACCAGAGTGTAGGAATACTCTGTTACAGTAAAAGTCCTGAATTCAAAATGTTCCTCAAGTAAAAGTAGAAAAGTATTATCATCAAAATATAGTGAAAGTAGCGACAGTAAAAGTAGTCATTGTGCAGATTGGTCCATTTCAGAATAATATATATGATATGTTTTATAATGATTGATCATTAAAGTGTTCTCAAAGCTGGTAAAGGTGCAGCTAGTTTGAATGACTTTGTATACTGCAGGGTAGCTTGTGAATTTACTCCAGGTGGAACTAAAGTCTGATTTAACACTTGATTATATTTCACATCATTCATCCACATCTGTGAAGTAACTAAAGGTATTAAATACATGTAGTGGAGTAAAAGTACACCATTTACCTCTGAACTGTAGTGGAGTAGAAGTACAAGGTGACATAAAATGGAGTACCTCAAAATTGTACTTAAGTACAAGTACCTGAGTAAATGTACTTCCTACCTCTGAATTTACTGATATAATGTGATCATTTAATTTTCATTATTTTCAAATTCACGGTGTAGATATTTGAATAGCTAGTGATACCTGGATACTATAACTAATTATAAAACAATGAAACGAGTTTGTGTGCTTCAACCCTTTTAGTGTCTGTGAGAGCCAACCCCTTTGTATTTATTTAAAAAACAAATCAGTCCGAATCAATCAACCAATCAGTGCGTCTTTGTTATTTTGTTGTATCAAGTTAATAGGTATTTATACTTCTTCCTTTATTCAGTGGTATTTTAGGCTACGACGAGTCAGAATGCATTCTCGAGTTTCATTAAAAACCTTACTTTACTTCTGTCACGTCCATTTTTAACTTGCATCAAGACATTCATATGTGTCCTCTAATACACTTGTGTCACTTTCTCTGTTGATTTATTGTTTTGTTTTATAGGAAGAGACCTGCAAAGACCCAGATAGACTTTATGATGATGGGGAGAAGAGTATCATCGGAGAACAGCTGGATCAACATCAGTCTACAGCCACGATAGGAAAACCATACACCTGTGACCAGTGTGAGAAGAGTTTCTGGAGTTCAGGGACTTTGAAGCACCACAAACGTACCCACACTAGAGAAAAACCTTTCACCTGTGACCAGTGTGAGAAGAGCTTTAGCCAGTCAGGCGATTTGAAGATTCACCTGCGAACCCACACTGGAGAGAAACCCTACTCCTGTGACCAGTGTGAGAAGAGCTTTAGCCAGTCAGGCGATTTGACGACTCACAAGCGAACCCACACTGGAGAGAAACCCTACTCCTGTGACCAGTGTGAGAAGAGCTTTAGCCAGTCAGGCTCATTGAAGGTCCACCAGCGAACCCACACTGGAGAAAAACCCTACTCCTGTGACCAGTGTGAGAAGAGCTTTAGCCAGTCAGGCGATTTGAAGGTCCACCAGCGAACCCACACTGGAGAAAAACCCTACTCCTGTGACCAGTGTGAGAAGAGCTTTAGCCAGTCAGGCGATTTGAAGATTCACAAGCGAACCCACACTGGAGAAAAACCCTACTCCTGTGACCAGTGTGAGAAGAGCTTTAGCCAGTCAGGCTCATTGAAGGTCCACCAGCGAACCCACACTGGAGAAAAACCCTACTCCTGTGACCAGTGTGAGAAAAGTTTCACGGCCTCACGCTCATTGAAGCGCCACCAGCGAACCCACTCCTTTGACCAGTGGGAGAAAGAGTTCAGTGACTCATACAGTGTGAAGCTCCACCAGCCTACCCACACTGGAGAAAAACCTGACGTCTGTGCTCACTCTGAGAAGAGTTTCAGAGAACCAGACCACATGGGAGAAAACCTTCACTAGTGCACTGAGACTGTTCAGAAAGAGTGAGGTGGACTGTTTGACACAACTCACTGTTAAAAGATGTTGTGTGGATTTTAAAAGTTGTTCAAATGTTCTCAATAATATTCAAATGCATGCACTTCAGTTGTCAACTTGTATTTTTTTCCACAGCAAAAACACACACAAAGCTCCCTAAAGAACAAGGCACCACAGTCACTTAAATGTAATAATGTTATAAATATGTGGTAATTGAACAACAAGCTAAAGCCTACTGATTTCTAAAAGTGTGTGTATAGAGCCTTTAGTCTCACATAAGCTAGATAGAGCGTCGCTTTGAACCATAAACTATTACCAATGCTGACTGTACTCATTCAGGCCATTTTACCCTCAGAAAGAGGTTCCACAGGGGTCTATCCTTGGTCCATTCATGTTTACATTAGATGTTACATAACTTTTTCCAGTAGCCACACTTTCTCCTTCGACCTTTTCTCTGTTGGGGAGGTTTGTAAGGCTCTAAAGGGCCTAGACCCCAATAAATCAGCAGGCCCAGACGATCTCCCCCCTTGTTTCTTACGTCTAGCTGCAGATATTATAGCCCAACCAGTGTGTCATGTTTTTAATCTTTCTATAACAAACAATGTCATTCCAGATGTTTGGAAAAACTGCAAATGTTCTCCCCTTATTGAAAGGTGGTGATTCCATGCTGATGAATAATTACAGACCAATTTCCAAGCTCTCTATTTTAGCTAAAGTACTTGAAAGGCTGGTGAATGATCAAATCAAAGAATATTTAAGCTTGAACAACATTCTATCTCCTCACCAGTCAGGCTTTAGGAAGCAGCACAGTACAGTAACAGCTGCTTTGAAAGTAGTGAATGACATTGTTGAAGGCTTGGACGCAAAGAGCTACTGTGCTGCCCTTTTTATAGTCTTATCCAAGGCATTTGATACTGTGGACCATGGCATTCTATGCCAGAAGTTATCCCATATAGGCCTGTCTGACCTAGCTGTTGGTTGGTTTTCAAACTATCTTTCAAATTGCAAGCAATGTGTACAATTCAGCGGTCTCTCCTCAAGCTTTCTTAATGTGCCCAGAGGTGTTCCTCAAGGTTCGGTCTTGGGACCCACCCTGTTTACAATTTATATAAATGATGTGCATCAAAATATTGATGCCTCTGTACATATATATGCAGATGATACTGATCTATACTGTTGTGCTAGCACTGCCGCCCTTGCATTTGAACGTCTGCAGTCTGCTTTTGACACTTTACAGTCACACCTTTTCCACCTCAGGTTGGTGTTGAATTCAGACAAGACAAAAGTCATGTTGTTTTCCAAGAAGAAAAAGTTACCAACTGTTCTTCCCTGCATCATGTCTGCCCAGCATAACCCATTGAAGCTTTTCACACCTACAGAAACTTGACTATTGACTATCTATGACTACTAAGATTGACTATCTTTTAAGGAAACTGAAATTAAAACTGGGATTCTTTTTTAGAAACAAGGCCTGCTTCTCCACAAGTGCTAGGAAACGGCTTGGAGCTGCCACATGTTTCCCGCTCTTGGACTACGGGGATGTTGTGTACATGAACGCCTCAGCTCACTCCCTTCATCTGCTGGACGCTGTTTACCATGGGGCTCTGAGGTTCATAACCAACTGTAAACCCCTCACACACCATTGCACACTGTACTCTTTAGTTAACTGGACATCACTATCAATGCGCAGATCTCTGCACTGGTACAAATTAATCTATACCGCTATGCTTGGACTGCTGCCCCTCTACATATCACACAAACAGTACAGCTATAGACTACGATCTCAAAATTACATCACTCTGTCCGTCCCCTCAGTATGCACGGAGCTTGGGAAAAAAGTGTTACCACTGATCAGGGGCCTCATTTATAACGCCTTGCGTAAGATTGACGTGGAAGGTTGCTTACGTAGGACCAGTGGCGTTTTTATATGTACAAAAGTGGTGGGGCACAAAAAACTTAGATGTCTATATATAAGCTTCTGCAGTGACGTGCAGTGAGGTTCATGGCTGGTGAGGCACTGGCACTGACTCTTCAGGTTTACAAATATTATATTTTGACCTAACCAAAATATAATATTATTTTCAAAAGCTTTTTTTGTCTGATGCTTCGATTAATTTTAAACAGACAGTTCAACAAAAGGATACCCAAAAAATGTCATTTTATCATTTAAATATTGAATTGTTCTCTCTTAGTAAGATCCCATTTTCAATAAAATGGCGGTCTTACCTTGACTTGAAGATGAAGTCCATTTGCCTATCCTTCTGGACAAACATTTCTATTACTTTTTTGTAAAAGTCCTCCTTATGTTCTTGTAGTTTCAAAAGTCTATCATAAATCTAATCCATAGATTTATGATAAAAAAATTATATAAGTAGGGTAGACATGTGGATGTTATCCGGCTAATCAAAACGTGCATTTATCTAACAGGTACGTTTCCCACAGATCTTATTTCGAGCTATTTTCTAAAATCCTCTGGAGAAATCTCATTGCTTTTTGTGCTTACTTCCTGGTTTTAGGACGCGCCCCTGCAGCTCTCTCGTCTCCTCTTCACACAGCACACTTTTCGCGGCACACGTACTTACAGCCAATCAGCTCTGAATGATTTGAGATGACGTATGGCGGGGATGGTAGCTCCATGCCCCTCTGGTCATTATTTTTTTGCCACACACATTTCATTACAAAATACTCTGAGCATGCGCAGTGAAGTTTTTACAGTCACCGTTGACTTCACAGCGAGAGGAAGGGGCATAATCAGGTTTTGTCCCACATGGCTCTAAACAGCTCAATAGGCACACACTGTGACTGTAGACACACTAATTAGAAGAACACAGACTAAAACAGCAATGTACAGACGAATCAGATGATTAAACATGATCTTAAAATATATTTTATATATTTTTTTATTTATTTTTTTGCATTTTTGTAATCATTATTTGTAATACTTTCTGCTGACACTAGGTGGGGCTGTGCCCCACCTGCCCCTAATGACCAGTCGCCACTGCGTAGGACAAAGCAAAAAAAATAGGTCCAGACATTTTCCGCTATTTTCCGATTCACAAAACATTGCGTACCGGAGAGGGAAGTGCGTACGGCACTTCCTACGCCTGTTTCCCTTTATAAATCACAGTCGACTCGTAACGCCCATATTTGCCTATAAATAGTCAAATAAACGCCCATTCATTCATTCATTTTGACTGACTGCATGAAGAAGATCGCAGGAAAAAAGTTAATGACAAAAAAATACACATAACCTTCCTCAGGCAGTGTGTTTGTCCCGAGGACAGGAGACACCCCCTTGATGAGAAACTGTAAGAAATGATCGGGGAATCCCTCCGGAGTGGAGTCATGAAGACTGGATCTGAATTATTTTTGTTGTATTTGGTGGTTTGTGTTCCAGCTGTCGATCAGCAACTATATATCCATAATTCACCAGTTAAAGGAAATACAACTAATGTGTTGTGTTATATTAGCTGTACAATTTACCACATATGGTGTTCTTAGTTTCCATACCTCCTGTGTTTTACGAGCGACTTATCAAGTCTTGGCAAACGGCATAAAACACGATTAAACGTGATAGTATATAAAACCATGCTCGTATCTACAACCTATAGAAATGCAAAACGGCGTCAGTTTAGACGTTATTCTGTCCTCTGCTTACCGCATCATTTATGAGAAAACATTTCATAACATTAACACAACATATTCGAGGTGGTTTTAAATAACATATCCGTATTTATTTATTTCTCCAAGTTATATGTTTTTGTGTGCACTGAGGAGTCTCAAACAGGCGTTTGTTTAATCATTTTAAGATTGGCTTTAATCAATGTTTGAAAATAAATTCTTCATATTTGATAAATGAGGTAACATTTTATTTATGGTATTATTTCCACATATTTCTCCATTCTTCCTTCTGCCAACGGTGTCGCAGTTTCTCGTCTCTCCCGTTTGTGTGCTTAGTGCGTACCATGGGTTAGAGTTTGCGTGGAGGACCCTTCTTATTATACATCCATGGGAGGACTGCACATTTTCCCGTCAAGTTAGTATTTTGTAAATCGCAAACATTGCGTAGAAACTGGCGTACGCCATTTTTTGAGCGTATATCCCTTTATAAATGAGGCCCCAGAGCCCGACTGGTGCTGCGTCATTGCGTCATCGTTTTTGCGTCATGACGTAACCGTTTGCGTGCCTGCTTCATAGAGCCAAACCGCGCGGAAACCCCTCACATCGACAACAACAACAATGGCCGATTGTATTGAAGCGCTACTCGTTTTGGTTTTGCTCTGTCGAAACTAAATGGAACACATGGGACCCTTTACTACCAACTTTACAGTCGTTACATCAGGGATGCAAACTCATCAGGTATGAAAAAGGTGACAAGGATTCGAGCCCCCCGACCCCACGGAATATCGGCTTTAAAATGAGGAATAACAGGATTTTAGCAGTCGGAACAACTAAAGCAGTTAATAATAACAGAAACGCCAAAGAGTCACATCTAATAGAAATGTATAAAAGCATTTATTTGAATTGTGTAGCAGTCAGTTTATAATTTTGGCAGCACTGTTGAGCATTTTGAAAATGTATTTTCATGCCTCTGTGCAAGGCTTAGTCTTTCTATCTGTATAGCCAGTGGTGTAAAGTAACTAAGTTCATAAACTCAACAAGGACTATACTTGGGTACAATTTTGAGATACTTTATTTAAGTATTTCAATGTGTTGCTACTTTGTTCTTCTACTCCACTACAGTTCAGAGGTAAATGGTGTACTACTACATGTATTTAATACCTTTAGTTACTTTACAGATGTGGATGAATGATGTGAAATATAATCAAGTGTTAAATCAGACTTTAGTTCCACCTGGAGTAAATTCACAAGCTACCCTGCAGTATACAAAGTCATTCAAACTAGCTGCACCTTTACCAGCTTTGAGAACACTTTCATGATCAATCATTATAAAACATATCATATATATTATTCTGAAATGGACCAATCTGCACAATGACTACTTTTACTGTCGCTACTTTAACTATATTTTGATGAGAATACTTTTCGACTTTTACTTGAGGAACATTTTGAATGCAGGACTTCTACTTCTACTCAAGTACAAGACCTGAGTACTTCTACTTTTACTCAAGTACAAGACATGAGTACTTCTACTTTTACTCAAGTACAAGACCTGAGTACTTCTACTTTTACTCAAGTACAAGACCTGAGTACTTCTACTTTTACTCAAGTACAAGATCTGAGTACTTCTACTTTTACTCAAGAACAAGACCTGAGTACTTCTACTTTTACTCTAGTACAAGATCTGAGTACTTCTACTTTTACTCAAGTACAAGATATATACTTATACCACCTCCGTTTATAGCCTATGAAAAAAACTATTTGAAAACGAAGGCTAAAGCTAACGTTAGCAGATAGTGACAATGTATGCTAGTTAGCTAGCTCAACGATAATATTGCGACAGGAAAACTTTCAGTGCACATCACGCTCTGCCGCTCCGACAGGGAGCTCTGATTTGAACACCTGAACGGCCCGTTCTAACAGCTGTTCACCAGCGGTCCAGTCTGTGCCACACTGACTCCGGACCGCACAGTTAATATTAACAAACGCACCCGTAGGTAATGTAGCTGCTGAAGCTAGACCCTCATCCCGGAGCAGCAGAGCCTTATTATACATCCATGAGCAGAGCCGACAGGCAGGAAGACTCTAGCACACAGCTCGCGCTTCATTATAATATATAAAAAAAGAACACCATGCGTGTCATGATGGCACATAACAGCTCGCGGCCGCAGATTACTCCGGGTCCCAGACCTATTTTGGATTCAAAACGGCGAATTTCGCCGAAAGGTGACAAGTTTGCATCCCTGTACATGCTACATTCATGACTTCTTTACAATCATCAACTTCAACGACGATTCGGTAGGAGAAAGAAGGTAAATACGTCCTATTAGAGCTAGCTGTTGTTCGCCTCTGCATGCGCCAAGCTCAAAATACCCAGCTTTGCAGCATTAATTACTATGGTATAACATTAAAAACTGTTGCCCCTGCCCCCGCCTCCGACATAAGCGTGACGTATGCGGTGCTTGCTTTCTAGACCGACAACTTTTTGGTGCTTGAAAAGAACCGGATTCCGGAGCTTATGCCCCTTTCACACCAACGCGTTTTCAGGGCAGGTGTTATGCCGTAGGTTGAAGCCTTGCCGTAGATTGAAGCCCTGTTCGCGGGGACGCGCACAGGTGACGTCATCGGCTGTATTGAGCTTCGCCTAGTTTTTCAAAATGTTTTCTCTCTTTTGAATGATATATTTCACATCAGATTAAACAGCAAACGGCTGAATAAATAATGTGCATACAATTGCAAGGTTGCTCGTTTTAAAGGAAAGACAATGAAAGGATAAGATGTCATTGTCAGTATAGTCCTATTTCTTAAAACCTTCGCTGTTGTTTAAGTGTCTGATAACCACGAATAGTAAGCAATGATATAACAGTAATGATATAACATATATGATAATGTAAGACACTGTGTTATTTTCAATCAAGCCTAAAAGATAATTTGTTCAAACTAGCCTCCACTCGCTTTAATTGCTCCTTTGAATGTAATTGTCCTCTGTGGTTTCCTACTCAACACATTTTTGTATTGTAATGCCACTCATATTTTATTTTTTATTTTATTTTAAGGTGACATTGAATGTTTTGAAAGGTGCCCTGAAATAAAGTTTATTATTGATCTTATATCTGTGCCTATATCACGCTATTAATGTTCCTTATTTTAGACTGGGTTAATCCTGGTGTCAATAGGGAAGATCTGCACTGTTCTCTACATAACATGTTCAGCAGAGCAGGTTTTTCTCCTGCCAGATATGGCACCCCCCCTACAACTTTGTCCAGGAAGGTCACACCGTCACCAAAATCACACTGGTGTTGCCTGTTCCCCTCTAGTGTGTGCTCACAAAAGCATTTTACTCTGGGCCCAACAGGTAAAAAACGAAAGAGGGGCTTCCATATCCGGCAGAGAAGATGTTGTAGCTGCCGGATTTGGAAGCCCCCCTATATCTTTGTCCAGGATGGTCATAGACTCACCAAAATCACACTGGTGTTGCCTGTTCCCCTCTAGTTTGTGCTCGCAAAAGCATATTACTCTGGGCCCAGCAGGTAAAAAACGAAAGAGGGGCTTCCATATCCGGCAGACCAGGTGTTGGAGCTGCCGGATTTGGAAGCCCCCCTATATCTTGTCCAGGATAGTCACAATTTTCACCAAAATCACACTGGTGTTGCCTGTTCCTCTCTAGTTTATGCTCACCAAAGCATTTTACTCTGGGCCCAGCAGGTACAAAACTAAAGAGGGGCTTCCATATCCGGCAGAGAAGGTGTTGTGGCTGGCTGCCGGATATGGAAGCCCCCCTATAATTTTTCACCTGCTGGGCCCAGAGTAACATGCTTTTGTGAGCACAAAGTAGAGGGAAACAGCAAACACCAGTGTGATTTTGGTGAGTCTATGACTATCCTGGACAAAGATATAGGGGGGCTTCCAAATCCGGCAGCTACAACACCTGGCCTGCCGGATATGGAAGCCCCTCTTAAGTTTTTCACCTGCTTGGCCAGAGTAAAATGCTTTGGTGAGCATAATCTGAGAGGGGAACAGGCAACACCAGTATGATTTTGGTGAAGTTGTGACTATCCGGGACAAAGTTGTAGGGGGGGTGCCATATCTTGGCAGCACCTTCTCTGCCGGATTTGGAAGCCCCTCTTTAGTTTTCAACCTGCTGGGGCCCAGAGTAAAATGCTTTGGTGAGCACAAACTAGAGGGGAACAGGCAACACCAGTGTGATTTTCTTGAGTGTATGACTATCCTGGACAAATGAAAGGGGGGGTTCCAAATCTGACAGGAGAAAATACCTGCTCTGCTGAACATTTTACGTAGAGAACAGTGCAGATCTTCCCTATTGACACCAGGATTAACCCAGTCTAAAATAAGGAACATTAATAGTGTGATATAGGCACAGATATAAGATCAATAATACACTTTATTTTAGGGCACCTTTCAAAGCATTCAATGTCACCTTAAAATACAATAACAAATAAAATATGAGTGGCATTACAATACAAAAATGTGTTGAGTAGGAAACCACAGAGGACAATTACATTCAAAGGAGCAATTAAAGCGAGTGGAGCTAGTTTGAACAAATTATCTTTTAGGATTGATTGAAAATAACACAGTGTCTGACATGTTATATCATTAAGCAATAGCTCACGACAGGCCGTGGTATATGCTCATTATATCACAGCTAAGGGGCGTGGTTCGGCCCGACGCAAAATGCTGTTGTGTTTTCTGAAATGCTGTGGTGTTTTCTGAAATGCTGTGGTGTTTTCTGAAATGCTGTGGTGTCTTGCACTTCCGGGCCACCGTAGAAAACAATGAAATTCTGTTTAGAGTTTAGCAGTCTAGAGCCCTGTTGATTTAAGTTTTCAGAATTGTTTACATGGTTGCATTTGAGTTTAAACAATGAAGAATTAAAAAAGCGTTCGTTACACTGAGTGAATCATATTGGTTGCTAGGAAACATCTGGCAAAATCAATCAAAGATGTAAACAGGAAGTCACCTGTAGCAAATAGTGAGTGCTAAAGCTACAGTAGCATATACAAGGAGATGGTAACATCTGATCATTCACATTTACTCTGAGGTGGGAGAAGTACTCGGATCTTGTACTTGAGTAAAAGGAGAAGTACTCAGAAAAGTAGAAAAGTATTAGCATCAAAATATATTTAAAGTAGCGACAGTAAAAGTAGTCATTGTGCAGATTGGTCCATTTCAGAATAATAATATGATATGTTTTATAATGATTGATCATGAAAGTGTTCTCAAAGCTGGTAAAGGTGCAGCTAGTTTGAATGACTTTGTATACTGCAGGGTAGCTTGTGAATTCACTCCAGGTGGAACTAAAGTCTGATTAACACTTGATTATATTTCACATCATTCATCCACATCTGTAAAGTAACTAAAGGTATTTACATGTAGTGGAGTTTCACCATTACCTCTGAACTGAAGTACAGTACCTGAGTAAATGTACTTCCTACCTCTGAATTTAACTAATTTATAAAACAATGAAACGAGTTTGTGTGCTTCAACCCTTTTAGTGTCTGTGAGAGCCAACCCCTTTGTATTTATTTAAAAAACAAATCAGTCCGACTCAATCAACCAATCAGTGCGTCTTTGTTATTTTGTTGTATCAAGTTAATAGGTATTTATACTTCTTCCTTTATTCAGCGGTATTTTAGGCTACGACGATTAGGGATGCCAGAAACTGACCATGATCAAATTCGAAAATCGGACAGCCCTGGCGAATATTAATCGATTATTCGATTATTTTGGTTGAAACTAAGCCAGGAAAAAAAAGAAAAACATAAATAATAATAAATATATATAAATAAAATCGAATTTTAAAAATAATTTTCGATTATGGAGACTGTAAGGAATATTCGAAAAATCGAATAATCGCTGGCATCCCTAACGACGAGTCAGAATGCATTCTCGGGTTTCATTAAAAACCTTACTTTACTTCTGTCACGTCCATTTTTAACTTGCATCAAGACATTCATATGTGTCCTCTAATACACTTGTGTCACTTTCTCTGTTGATTTATTGTTTTGTTTTATAGGAAGAGACCTGCAAAGACCCAGATAGACTTTATGATGATGGGGAGAAGAGTATCATCGGAGAACAGCTGGATCAACATCAGTCTACATCCACGATAGGAAAACCATACACCTGTGACCAGTGTGAGAAGAGTTTCTGGAGTTCAGGGATATTGAAGCACCACAAACGTACCCACACTAGAGAAAAACCTTTCACCTGTGACCAGTGTGAGAAGAGCTTTAGCAGGTCAGGCGATTTGAAGATTCACCAGCGAACCCACACTGGAGAAAAACCCTACCTCCTGTACCAGTGTGAGAAGAGCTTTAGCCAGTCAAGCTCATTGAAGCACCACCGGAGAATCCACACTGGAGAAA